CTTTTTCATTAGTGGGGAATTGGGAGGGGGAATAGTAAGGAGTAGAATAGTAAGGAGTGTTGTCAAAATAAAAAATTCCTTTCTAGAAGCCCAAGGTCAGCACCTCTGCACCTGACCGGAACTAGATGGGTGGAAATGCCAGCGTGGCAGAGGAAGATTGGACCATGTGATGGACTTGTGGGTGTGGGAGCAAGATCATGAACTTTCAACTAGGTGGAAAACCCAGGAAGCTTTCAGATTCGGGTTTTCCACAGATGTGCCAACATGGCTCTCTTATTAAATTGGAACTTTGATGAAAGCTATGCCTTGGACTCTGATTTAATTCTGGATGATATTTGGAATGCTGACAATGAATATATTCATGAGTACAGGAAGCCCACAATTTATGACTAGTTGCTTAGCAACCATTTGAAGTTATGACAGACCATCCCAGAGCAACTTATGATCCATATTCGAAGTTCCGATGGCTGCCTCACACACACACACCGCCCCACACACTCCAGTCATATGATCATATTGTGGTCACACAACAACCAGACTGCACATATGGTCATCCCTAGCCATGTGGCCACAATTTACAGTACTTTCCAGAAAACAGTGTTTATTTCCAATTTCCGCAAAAACCACCCACTCTGTCCAATGATAATATGAAGACGCACTTAACGATGTCATTAAAACAGGCCATAAAGTTGGGAACAGTCACATGGTGACTCACAACCACCAGCATGGTTGTAATTCTGCGTTAAATTACTGTGGTTAATTGAGGACACTGTGCTGCAACTCAAAATATTAATAAAAGAGAGACAATTTTTTAGCTGCTTGTCATTCAAGTGCGCTTCTGATAATTTCACACTGATTTTTCAGTCCAATTTATTCTCTTGAAAAGCTTGCTAAAAGGATCCTAGGGAAGAAAATTGCTTTAGGGACCTGTACTAAAATAAAAGCAGATAAGTTAACTAGCAAACCCGCTCTCGGCCTTCAATTTATTTATGGAGTACCTGAAGTGAAACCCCAACTTTTCTCGGCAGACAGGAATAAAAGGATGGCCTAGAAATATGAGCACAATGTTGCTTCTCACGTAAGAGAATAACAGAATAACAGAGTTGGAAGGGACCTTGGAGGTCTTCTAGTCCAACCCCTTGCTGAGACAGCTATGCCATTTCAGACAAATGATTCTGCAATCTCTTTTGGAAAACCTCCAGTGTTGGAGCATTCACAACTTCTGGAGGCAAGTCGTTCCACTGATTGATTATACTCATGTCAAATTCCTCCTTAGTTCTAGGTTAGTTTTCTGCTTGATTAATTTCCATCCGTTGCTCCTTATTCTGCCTTCAAGTGCTTTGGAGAATAGGTTGACGTGACCCCCTCAAGTATTGGAACACTGCTATCTTATCAACCCTAGTCCTTGTTTTCATTAAACTAAACATAACCATTTTGCTCAGTTGTTCCTTGTGTGTTTCAGCCTCCAATCCCGTAAGTATCTTTGTTGCTCTTCTCTGCATTCTTCTAGAGTCTCAACATCTTTTTTTACTTCATGGCGCCCAAAACTGAATCTAGTATTTCGAGTGTGGTCTTCCCAAGGCATTATAAAGCAGTATTAACATTTCACGTTATCTTGATTCTATCCAGGGATGGGGTGGGATTGAAAAAATGTAGCAACCTGTTCTCTGCCCGGTTGCTGGATGGGAGTGGCCATGGTGGGCGTGGCCTAGTTGGCCTCCTGCACCATGGTGGAGGTGGGGAGTGCGTTTTCACCCTCTCCAGCTCCGGAGACTTTCCTCGAGCCTCTGGGAGGGTGAAGTTGGCCTCTCCCCGGGCTTCGGAGGCCAGAAACAAGCTTGTTTCCGGACTTCTGAGAGGCCCAGTTTTCACCCTCCCCAGGATCTAGAAGTTTTCCTTGAGCCTTCATGAGGGCGAAAATGTCCTCCCCTGGACTCCGGAGGCTGAAAATGGGCCCATTTCTAGACTTCTGGAACTTCCAAGAGGCCCGTTTTTCGCTCTGCCAGATCCTCCACATGGGTCCTGCACTTACCTGGCATCCAAAACGGGGCCATGAGGAGACTCCTGGGAGGGGCGGAGCAGGGTGGACGGGGCCAACCAGTCCTTGGAACTACCAGTTCAGCGAACCAGATGTAAAATTAGCATCTGGTTTGCCCAAACCGCTCCGAACCAACTGAATCCCACCCCTGATTTTATCCCTCGGTTAATGCTGGCCCAGACTACATTGGCATTTTTGGCAGCTGCAGCACCCTGCTGGTTCATATCCCTTAGACTCTCCGCTAGTACAAAAATTATCTCTCTCCCACACACATGCCTCTCCCTCCCCATAAGCTCAAATACTCACATCGGCAATTGGGGAAACCCCAATATCCAGTGGCACAGCGGGAACATTCGCGCCCGATGATATTGGACTTGCATGTACATTGACCCCCAAACGGCTCACACTGGCTCGAGACAGCGCCAGCCTCATGGCAGTGACAAGGTTCGGCCCCGTTGTAAAAAAGAGAAATTGAGATGGCAGAGTCCTGGCAGAACCTGGATGAAGTTACAGGGCTGTGGAGAGAGAGAGGAAAAGTTTTGTGCCGGGTCTCAATGCAGTGCAGTGTCTACAAATGTTATTTATTAATGATTTTACTCTTTGTAAGGTAAAGATTAAGGGTACTCATTAATTAAAACGTGGAGCCTGAAAAATTGCACACGGTTCGCTTTTTTGCAAGCATGAAGGCTAGACCAAGAAAGAAATGAAACAGGGAGCGCTTCAGGACAGTAAAATGTATACTCAAATACTGCTCATAAAATGAATACAGAAACTAGATATTAAGAAAGCTAAATACATACGATAAAGCTCAGTTTCTTGAGTCTATTTACCTATTGACTGGCCTATCCTGTTAGATATGGTACCTATTTTCGGTAATGTCTGGCTGGCCAATTCAAGCTAACATCTCTCTCTCTCTCTCTCTCTCTCTCTCTCTCTCTCTCTCCCTCCCCCCCCCCCTCCCTCCCTCTCTCTCTCTCTCTCTCTCTCTCTCTCTCTCCCTCCCCCCCTCCCTCCCTCCCTCTCTCTCTCTCTCTCT